TTTACACGACGACAACAACAACAACGACAACAACAATAATAACATCAACAAAATATACAGGACAGTTTTTGAACGCATGCCTCCCTACATATTAAAAGCCAAATGAAGATGTTTCAAATTGTAACAATATGTCCATTGTTATTGGGTAAAAATTTATTTTTTCGTTCGTTCATTCGTTCGTCCATTTGTTCATTCATTCATTCGTTCATTCATTTATTCATTCATTCATTCGTTCATTCATTTATTCATTCATTCATTCACTCACTCACTCATTCATTCATTCATTCATCTTTTCAATAATAGTTGTGACGACGATGAATGTATATAGAGCAACATCATACTGACTGATGAACTGTGTTGAGGGCAGTGAATGAATCAAACGAAATGGATGAAAAGTAGAGAGAGAGAGAGAAAGAAGAGAGAGAGGGGGAGAGAGAAGGATGAAAAAAATAATAAAGAGCAGGATATCACGTGGTACGCGTCACGTGATATCTTCGTGGTCAGAAGCTAGAATAAATACGCTACTACTATGGTTGTACGAGCCTATTATTATTATTATTATCGTTATTATTGTTTTTTTATTATTTTTTTTATTATTGTTGTTATTAGAAATACAATATCTTCTTGCAGTTGAAAAACCTTAGCCAGGAAATATTGTATCGGATGAGAAAAAAAAAACATCTATATATAAATTACTATATCGGCCAGATACATACAAACATACATACAAACATGCATACACACACACGCGCGCGCGCGCACATACATACACACACATATACAAACAAACTGCACTCTGATTGGCTGGTTTGATCTGTTATTCAATTATATCTTTAGTGTATTTTTGTAGAATCATCATCGTGATTTCGCCATGAAATCACCCTAAGGAATGGTTCAAAAGTCAAGGGCGGCTTCTAGGATATTAATAACTATCATTATGTGCGTGTGTGTTTGTGTGTGTGTTTGTGTACATGTTTGTGTGTGTGTGGGGGGGGGGGGTATAACTGTATGCCAGGTAAGTATACACAAACACGTTGATTGGGTGTATTAACATTGCATTGCTATGGAAATTTGTATCGTCACACTTCTTAATTCTTTAATTTCATTGTTAGGATAATGATTTTGGATCATTTGAATTCAAATCCTACAAACACTATTGTATTTATACAAACAAACATACAAAAATACACACACACCGCACGCGCGCACACGCACACACAAACAAACACACACAAACAGACACACACACACACAAACAAACACACACATGCATGTACAAGTTATTTCATTTTGAATCACATGTGTCACGCGCTTACAGCTAAGTAGAGTTTGTGCTTATATCTTATCGCGCGCACACACACACACACACACACACACACACACACACACATACATACAGACATAGAAACAAACATACATACAAACACACACACACACACATACATACATACACACACATATATATTTATACATTGATGTTTTTTTTTCATTCATTTGCATGCTTGTTTATTTTCGTAGAAAAAATTGAATTAGACCCTCGTTAGATATTCGCTATATATTTTTACGTTCTTTCATTCATTCACTCACACTTTCATTCATCCATTCACACTTCCATTCATCCACTATTCATTCATTCATACACTCATTCATTCATTTGTGCTTTCTTTCATTCGTTCATTTATTGGTCTAACATCCCGTATATATAAATGTTTTTGAACCGGTGATCCCAACATCCATATAAACAAACACACCCACATACGCACATTCACACATACAAACAAACACACACACATTCAAACATATCAACCCGACATACACACACACACACACTCACACATACAAATTCGCTATCTATTTTTATATTTGATATTGTATTACTGAATTGTATTATCAATTGCTATAACATATAAACTTTGCATGTATGTATGTGTGTGTGTGTGTGTGTGTGTGTGTGTGTGTGAAAAAGTTTACCATCAGAGTGCTAAACATGTGCTACGAAACTTTCATTGAAGCACTGTCACAAATAGTTTTACGTTTCTGTGTCCTTAATGAACAAAAGATGTATGTAGATAAGTATGTGTGTGTGCGTGTGTGTATGTTTGTGTGTATGTTTGTGCGTACGTTTGTGTGTGTGTGTATGCGTGACGTAATCAACGCTGTCTAGCTTGACGAATTATATTTTGATTCTGTGAAAACGTTTAATGATGAAACAAAGAGAGGATTTGTTTGTTTATTTATTCATTCATTTATAATTTAATGAAACAACCACCAATCAATCCATCAATCAATCAATCAATCCATCCATCAATCCATCCATCAATCCATTCATCAATCCATCCATCCATCCATCCATCCATCTAATTTAACCAGTCTTAAAATCATACGGAAATAGAATTGAACCAAAAAATTAGTTACAAATTTATTTTGAAACCCTTAACCTGTTTTCTGATTGGATAATCTCTCAACCAATCAAATTAATCTAAATAAAAAATCAATTAAATAATTGGTCGACGTTCCTTTTCCAGTTGGAATCCCAGTCTCCTATTGGATGATCTCTCAGCCAATCACGGCTTTCTTCTAACCTCCGGCTCTTTGTTGTGAAACCTTTTAATAAGTCCTAAACGAATGAGTGAATGAATGATTGAACCAATTAATAATTGAAACTACAAATGAATGAATGAATTATAAAATATAAAAAATTACCAGAAAAAGTTGACAAAGTTGTTTAGAATCATCAAACAGCCATCCACTCTTTCCTTCAACCACCAGTTCGTTGATGCTAGATGGATGGGTGGATGGATGAATGAATGAATGAGTGAGAGAGTGAATGGATGAATGAATGAATGAATGAATGAATGAACGAATGAATGAATGAATGAGTGATAGAGTGGAGCCAATGGAATGTTTTCAATAGTTTTACGTTGCAATTTCAACCAACAAACGAGTGAATGAATGTACAGACGAACGAAAAAATAAAAGAATGAGAAAATGAGTAAAAAAACGAATGAAAAGAACGAAAGAACTAACCACTTATACCTTACAGCGCAGACTGGCAGGTGACAGCCAAACATGTCGACCACTTTCATTGGTAGATCCAGCCCGCTACTAGAGTAATGCAGGCAAACCCCAAGGTCACCACAGCCCAACATGGTGGGGTAATCTTCGGCAGACAGCCATGGGGTCACGATCTTAACTTTTACCCAATTTATTTCGGAGATTAATTTAGTGTAGTGGGATTTCAATGGCCCTTTTCCTGTTTTTTTTGTTTTTGATTAATTCATTCAATCAATCGCTTGATTCATTCAATATATCAATCTTTTCATTCGTTCATTCATTCAATCGTTTCATTCATTCATTCATTGATATTGTTGTCTATTATACATACCCACCTGTTACAACACAGACAATTGGAGGTAATGATAATGATGATGATGATGGTGATGATAATGCTTCGTAAGCTGTTTGGGGAAAATTAATTATAAATTACATTACAAATTACTTTAATTCCAAAATAGCAAAAATCACCATCATCATCATCGTCGTCATCATCATCATCATCGTTATCATCACCTCCATTCTCATCATCACTATTACAATCATCATCGTCGTCGTCGTCTTCCTCCTCTCAACCACCTTCTAAAGCCTCTAGAAGAACATTGAAATCCTCATCAGCTAGAAGGAAAAAAATTTTTTTAAATGTTTAAGCCCACACACACACACACACACACACACACACACACACACACACACACACACAAATAGAAAACGAGTATGTACGAGTCCAACTGGTACTGCTGATGATGAGAACTGGTCTCCCCTCGCTAAACTCAGCATCTCCATCCGGTCTCATTTTAGTGAAGATGTTGTGTGAGAATGATGACGACGGGGAGGGTGATCTAGATTTGTGATTGGTTGGTTGGTTGATTGATTGGTTGGTTGAGTGAGTGAGTGATTGGTTGATTGATTGATAACCAAATTATTAAAAGAAAAAAAAATTAACTAAAATATCAATGACATATTAATTAAATCTGTTTGCTATTTAATTCATCTTTTGATCTATCCTTCTACCCATCCTGCAACACATTCATTCATTCATTCATTCATTCATTTTATTCATTCATCAGACCATTCATTCATTCATCAGACCATTCATTCATTCATTCAACCAATCAATCAGTCAGCTAACCTAAATGGATCAAATGATTGAAAGAATGTATGCTTTTCTAGCATTGTCAACCTCTTAAATATTGATGCTGGCTTATCGTGCACTGTTACAGCCCTGGTGAATTATTCATTCGTTCATTCTTTCAGTCCTCCAATTACTCATTCATTCATCAATCAATCAATCAATCATTCATTCAATCATTCATTCATTCATTCAACTGTTCATTCATGCAAGCATTAGTTTTTTTTATACACGCCAACATACATGTTAAAATTAATACATACATTTACTAATTCAAACATTCTTCATTCTTTCCATCATCAATTAATAAAATCATCCATTTATTAATTGATTCATTCAATCGTTCATTCATTCATTCATTCATTCATCCCTGATTACCTAATTTGCCAGTTTTGCATTAAATCTTCCTTCATAGCGTCAGTCACACACGTGTGGCTATCGGCCAGGCAGCCTATTTTTCGTTCATACCTATATTTTTACGCCGCTGCTGAATTCATTCGTTCATTCATTTGTTCATTCATTCGTTCATTCATTTGTTCATTCATTCGTTCATTCATTTTTTCATTCATTCGTTTATTCATTCATTTGTTCATTCATTTGTTCATTCGTTCGTTCATTCATACTTTTCTTCATACGTTAGTTAGTTCGTTCGTTTTTAGGTTCATTCGTTCGTTTATTTAAACATTCATTCATCTGTTGCTCCTGCTGATGTAAATGCTAATGTTGTTGATGGATTCATTCATTCATTCGTTCGTTCGTTCGTTCGTTTACTTATTCATTCATTCATTCATGCATTCATTCATTTATCTATTATGCTGTTTATGCTGTTGTTGCATTCAGAATCTTTTTTAACAACAACAACAACAACCCCAACGACTGCAAAACCCACCCACCACTTATAAACTCTGACCAATGGGTGTTGAGGGTTTTTTAATGTCAAGGCCATGATTGAGTAACCGTAATTGTGCCAGTCTATGATCAGTCGACTCCCTCTCAGACGACATGCTATCAAAGATACTAAAATTGTAGGGATGGCTGGTGGATTCTGAGAAATATCAATACAACATTCATCAATCACCATCATCATCACTGTTATTATCTCCCTCATCATCATCACAATCATCATCATCACCAACTTGAATCAAAACATGTGATGGCCTCCTATAAAATGTCAGGCATGTGAACAAGACTAACGACTGCCAAATTACTTTTGCCACGAACGATAATGATGATGGTAGTTCTAAGAAAGGGTGAACGAATGAAAGAATGAATGCATGAATGAATGGGTGACCAAGTAAAATAAAGGCAAAAAAGAGAAAAGATTAATGAAATTGAAATATAACAATAAGCATAGAATAGAATAGATCAACATTCACTTTTAAAAACTTCTGGGGTAGGTAGTAAATGGACTAGTTGTATTGATTTGTTGTATAGCACATCCCTGTGGGGCGTGGACCCTGCGCGATGGGGGCGGACCATGTCATTATTCATTCACTAATTTCAAATTGACTACTTATTTGATTTGAATTATCTATGAAAATAGAACTACAACTAATAATAACAATAAGCAGAATAATAACAAACCTGCAAATAAGAATAATAATAAGAATAATAATAAACCTGCAAAACCAAAGAATAGCACCTGAAAACCTTTCTGGGCCAATGAAAGAGCATGGTACTGCATTCTAGGGCTTCTTCCGACATCACCGAGAACAATTACGTACGCGACATTTTTACTGGTTCTAAATCTCAAAAAATAGATCAAAATTGGAATGATTAGGGATATTATTGTTGTTCCGGCGATTAGCATTAGGCAGGGAATCATCCTGATTAGTGAAATTTTTTTTCAGAATTTTGCGTTTTGTAATTACGTCTACTTTTAGTTTTACAGGTGATGGGTATGAATGTAGAAAATGAAATATAATATTTGCCGTTTTTAAAAAATTTTAAGCTTTTTTTACAATTTAAAAAATTATTTTTTAATTAAATTATTTATTATATATGTTATAATAATAATAAATGTTCTAAATTCAATAAAATTTTCAACGTTTTATAACGTTTTAACCTCTAAATACTATAAATGAAAAACCTGGTTTTCCAATGATGGGATTTCCTAAATTAATTTTTCCATTTTTTCAACGTGGTTTCGCTAATTATTTTTCAATTTAAAAAAAACGCTTTTTAAAATTTAAAAATTAAATTTTACATATAAACGAAAAAACTATTTTATATTTAAATAAAAATACATTAAGTTATTTTGTCTAAATCGGTATATTTTACTAATTATCGAAAAGCATTTTTACGTATAAGTTTACTTTTTAAATAAAAACATGTATGAAGTGCGCTCGAGTTTAAAATTGTAAATAAGATTTTAAAATGTTGAAAAACTTGGTAAAATTACGAAATTTTGGCGGTAAAACTAGCTATAAAGGTTTCTTATCCATTCAGAATGTTAGTGAAAATGCAAAATAATGACACTTATCACAGTTTTATTGTTAGCATTATGATTATTTATAATTTAATTAATTTTGGGGTAATATTTAACTTTATTTAAATTTTAATTAATTACAACCTATACGAGGTATGTATGTATGTATATGTATACCTTAGATATTTTTATTAAAATATTCTCATAGTTTATCTAAGGCGTTTACTTAGTTATTTATTATATAATATTATTAATTATATAGTAAAACTAACTATATAAATTTTTTGAATTAACCAACACCACTAACAAAAAATTACTAATTGACTTACTTACTAAATTAATAATTGGCTTACTAATTTACTAATTGGTTTACTAAATTACTAATTGACTTACTTACTAAATTACTAATTGACCTACTTACTAAATTAACATCCTGACTGAGTCCCCACCCATCAACCACAGACAGATTATTGGGTAGAGATCGAATGTGATGAAGAGAATAAACTTTTAAAATTTTTCTGCCAATGGAGGTTAAAGGAATTGCTAAAAAAAGATGGCCTTGAACTTGAAGACATCCACCAACATGTAAATAATTAATATTAAATATACCTCTTTACATCAGAGTCACTTTACTAATTATTATTATTATTGTTATTATTATTATTATTATTATAAATTGATATAGTATTATAATCCAATATTAATAATATAATATTTAATAATAATTAACATGTTGTTGTTTTTGTTGTAGTATTCCAAAGGCCAAAAGATTGATGTTAATGAGTTCTTGGATCAGCTCATTCGACTCGTTGTTGGTATTTCTCTAGTTTTTCTGAGTTTATGTTTTTATTTAATTTACCTTATAATAATAATAATTGTTATTATTTATTATATTATTATTAATATTTTAATTATTATTAATTTTCATGCCATTCTTATTGTCAAATAAGGAAAAAAATTTATTTGAGAAAAGTACCAGAGGCGCTGATGACGTCACTGATGACGCAAACAACAACGATAATAATAATAATAGTAATAATAATAATAATAAAAATAATTACGATGATAGTGAGGCTGAAGTTGATGATGTTAACTTTATCCTAAATCAATTAAATGAACTTGGCTGGAATAAGTTTGTTGTTGTTGATGTTGTTGTTGATGTTGTTGTTTTTGTTGTTGTTGATCATCATACTCATCATCATCATTCTCTACATCATCATCATTCTCTACATCATCATCGTCTTCATCACCATCATCATCGTCGTCACAGATTGCATAGTATTGACAAGTCGTTTAGGGACATACAATTGAAATACTCATCATCATCGTCTACCACAACTACTACTACTACTGCTACTACTACTACTACTAATAATAATAGTGATACTGATGATGATGGTTTACACATATTACACTTAAAATTTCAGGTTAGAAAAACTTGACGATGACAACGACGATGATGATGATGGCGAAGATGACGATGATGATAATGATGTCTAGAATAATGATGACCGTAGATCTAAGACTAGATCTAAGGACATTTTTTTTGATATTAAGGGTGCATTATTATTATTATTATTATTATTATTATTATTATTATTATTATTATTATTATTATTATTATTATTATTGTGATCATTATCAACATCGTCACCGCAGAACGTTCGCCAAAGGCCAGTTATTTCATGTGATTTGCCACAGATGTTCTCCATTGAATGGAAAGAAAAGGTGAATGAATGAATAAATGTGTGAATGAATTATGAATGAATGAACAAATGAATTAATGGATGAATGACATTCACACACGCACTCATAAAGACTACTCTATCAGATGCCTACAATCAATTTGTAAGTCACATTACTACTCTGCAACCGTACATAAACCAATTGCGTGACCTTGACCTCAACACGACCGTCCTTGAACCCTCTCGACCGAGTTTGGCCGACTGCCATAGGAGGATTTTTATAGGTCATTTCTGCCTTCTAGTTTTAGATTTTTTCAAATTTTTATTCTATTTATAGAACCATTAGTTTGTTGTCTCTTTAAAAATATTTTCATTATGTTATAGTTATTTCGGTTGTATTCTATTTATAGATTTTGTTTCTATTTATAGAATTTTACGTATGTTCTATTTATAGATTTTGTTTCTATTTATAGATTTCAAATAATTACTATTTTTAGCCCCGGGAATTTCCATAGAAATAAAATTGGACCCCTTTAAGGCATATGATGTTCCTCGATTTACGATCTTTGCCACAGATAAAGGTTTAATAATTTTTTATCCACGGTACTGATGACGATGATGATGGTTATTATTATTATTATTAACATTTTTTATTATAACTGTATATTTATAATTGTTTAAATGGCAACCAATGACCTTTGATCGTTTATTTCCCCAACAATAGTTGTCAACCAATTACAAACGTGCTACCACAAGAACGCATGCTATTGGTTGGTTGGTTTTATTCGAATGGGCCAATGAACGAATTGACTAATGAATGAGTGAATGAATGAATGTAAAGAATGAATAATTAAATGGATGTGAAATGTTACAAAATAAGCTTGAATAGAAAAAGGACTCTACGAATGAATAAATGAATGAACGAATGAATGAATCAATCAATCATCAATTAGTTTATAAAGCGAATGAATAAATGTATCAATCAATTAGTTTTTAAACAGATGGGTCTTGAGGTCCGCTCTGAACTTCGTAAGTGATGGAGAAGTAGTCAGAGTAGGAGGAAGAGAGTTTCAAAGAAAAGGGCCAGAAAAAGCAAATGCAGATTTAGCAAAGGAGTGTTTTACACGAGTTAACAAGAAGTGAGAACAAGAAGACGATCGTAAACCGGCGCGTCTAGGTTCAATTAATATACAGTATCTGATAAGAAGGAGTAGAGTAGGATTGTCAAGAAAAGTTTTTTATATTCTACGTAGATGAAAGCAAGAGCTTCTAGCAACACTATTAATCTAAGAAAGAGACAAGCTAGAATCAAAGATAGAGCCTAGACTACTAAACTTGTGAGAAACATCAAGAGTTAGAATCTGGTAAGATAATAGGAAGGATTAGTAATAGAGCTGTTAAAACAAATCAATTTAAATTCGGAAGGATTAAATTTAAGACACTTAAGAGTCAGACCAAGCGATAATTGAAGAAAGACATAGAGATAGATTATGAAGAACACTATTGAGATTAGATGGAGGAAAAGAAATATAAAGAATAAAGAATCATCAGCATCTAGTTGACTAGTGAAAGAAAAATTATTATTAATACGAGGTAGTTCAGAGGTATAGGGTTGTTAAGAAGGATTGTACGAATGAATGAATGAACGAATAAATGAATGAACGAATGAATGAACAAATATTAATTATTCAAATTAATTATTCAAATGAATTAGGAATAAGGACAAAGCCTTGGTCGACAATTTGCAGAGAGTTTTTTCAGTTAACATTCCAACGAAGTCAAACAAAGAGCAGGTTCTCATGAATTTATTATTTTTAATATTTGTTCACTCCTTCGTTATTTCATTCGTTCGCTCATTCATACATTAATTCACTCATTTATTCACTCATTCCTTCATTCATTCACTGGATTGAATCACTCGCTCAGTCACTCGAGCCATCACTACCGACATGCGGATTGTGTTTAAGTTACGAAATGGAAGGAGAGGTGCCAGAGATAACCTGCAGTGCTGTCTGCAGCCTTCTCTTCCATCATTCATGCGTTCTCGAGGTTGAGTGAGTGAGTGAGTGATTGTTGGTTGATCGATTAATTGTTGGTTGATTGGTTGGTTATTTAGTTGAGTGAATGAATGATTGGTTGATTGTATGGTTGTAATGCTATACATACATACATACATACACACAAACATACATACCAACAAACACACAGTGGCTAAGGTACCAAACGAGCACAAAACAAAGCTATGGGGTTCTTTTCGGAACCTGTCCTCACTGCTCACAAGTTTGTTCTTCCAATCGTTAACATTACGTGAATAATGAGAACATCCTATAATTCTGATTTTAAAACATAAACTGCAGTTATAAAGTTAAAATAATAAAACTTATAATGTTAATTATATAGATATTGTAATAATTATAAAAATAATTATAATAATATAATTATAATAATAGATGATAATAATAATTTCACAGCCTTTATCAGTAACTGAATGAAAGCAAAGAAGAAATTGCCTTATTTGGCAATCACTATTATTATTATTACTACTATTATTATTATTATTATTACTACTACTACTATTGTTGCTATTGTTAGTATTATTGTTATTATTATTTTGAAGTTTAAAAGTGAAATTTTATACTATCTATTCGATCGGGGAGAAATATAAATGATCCAAAAATACTAGAGAAAGGCAATCTTTAACATGCAGTACATATTATAAAACGCTATATAAGTATCTATATAACAACAATGTACATACATACACTATATATATATATATATATATACATATACATGCATAAACACACAAACAAACCAACATACATACACACACACATACATAAACTTACAAACAAACCAACATACATACACACAGACATACTTACATTTTTCAAAAATATCACACAAAACAAAAACCGCGTTTGGTCAAAATATCAAAGTATAAAGCTATATATATATATATATATATATAAATGTACCATATGTATACTATATTTATATATATAGTATATAATTGTTCAATAAAAAGGTATGTACATTTTCAAGTTAAACGCTATCTCGAACGTGATTGGCTAAATTTTACACATTTTAAATGTTCATTAATTATCTCGGATATGATTGGCTGAATATTTTGTTAGTGGGAGGAGTCAACTTCACAGCCGGATCACCATCATCATCGTCGGGGGGGGTGATTTACTTTAACAGGACCTTTGGAGCCATCAGGGCTTTTTTTCTGTAGGGTAATTAATTTTATTATTTAAATCTAAAAAATAGCAATTAAAGATTGAAAAATGTTATCAGATTTTCCGTGAAATACAAGACGGTAAACGTATTTCTGTCGTAATAGCATAGCGTATCACATGCATTTGATCATCAGGTAACTATTGAAATGTAACGCATACATGCACACACACACACATACATACATATATACATACAAACAAACAATCACAGTGAAACAATTAAACACAACACGAGGAGCTAGATCGGTTTTGAAAGCGTTTGGGACAATTATAGCTAACATAAGAGCATGCAGTCTCAATTTATAAATAAATGAATGAGTGAATGATACAATGAAAGAATGAATGAAGCAATGCATGAATGAATGAAGCAATGAATGAATGAATGAAGCAATGCATGAATGAATGAAACAGTATCTAAGCGAATGAAATAGTAAACAAATAAATGAATGAAAAAGCTTATATATAAGTATACAATATATACACTACAAATTTACCAATTGTTTTTGATAAATCAAAACGTTTACTGGACAAATTCTCGTTAGTAGTGGCAGCGGCAGCTCTAGTAGTAGAAGAAGCAGCAGTAGTAGCGTCAATAGTAACAAAATTAGTAGTAGTATCAGTAATCATGTGAGAGTTAGAAGAAGCAGTAGTAGTATTATGAAAAGTATCAGCATTGATTACATCTTTATTAGTGCAAGTAGTAGTAGTAGTAGTAGTAGTAGTGGTTGTATTAGTAGTGGCTGTAGTAGTAGTAGTATTTTTAGAGTTTTCAAGGTAAGAAGAGAGTCGAAAGAACCTAGAAACTCTGGTTAATTTATAAATAAAAAAATTAGTAATTTAGTTTACTTACATACATACATAATACAAACACCCACATATACACAAAAAACACATAAAAAAACATACAGACACTCATTTAAACATTCATACCTGCATTCGAAGTCACAGAAATGCATTCAAAACGAAAATGCATATACATACATACACAATCATCAGTTTCCAGACATAAATACACACACACACATACATACACACACACAAATACACACAAATCACAACAAACATATAGACCTTCTAAGGCTAGATCTAAGGACATTTTCTTTGCCTTTCTTCTCACTCCCACTCATGACTGCAAGATCAACTGATATTCTGGCTATCTTTGAAGATGATGGTGATGAAGATGATGACGTTGTTGGAGTTGGTGGCGATGATGATTTTGCTACTGATGATGATGATGGTGGAGGTGGTGATGATGATGGTGGTGGAGGTGATGATGATGGTGTGCTGGGTCCCTGGTTGCTCATTGCTTTGAAAGTGGCGAACTGAGTCTCCATGCTCTGTAAAATTATAAAATAATCATCGTCGTCGTCGTCATCATCATTATCATCATTGTCGTCATCATCATTATTACCATCTATTCCATTATTATTATTATTAATGCTACTACACAACTCAACTTTTAGATTCACTTTTAAATTTATAACCTCGCAGAACAACAGGAAACCAGGAGGGGCATTTTTTTTAAAAATAAAATTTAATCATTCAAACTGAAAAAAAAACTTTAATAATAATAACAAGAAGAGGAAGATCAAGAAGAGGAAGAGAAAGAAGAAGAGGAAAAGAAGAAAAGGAAGAAGAACAAACCCCAAATCTTCTCAGTAGGTCAGTGACGATGTTCATGGCCGATATACAGACGGCTGGCGTCAGCGGGGAAGTCTGAGACTGCAATCCACCTGGTGACAAAAATGAAATAGTGACAATAATAATAATAATTCAAATAAAAAACAATAATAATAAAGTTATAGACACACACACACACACATACCTCTGAGTGGCGTCTTAAAAAAACTACTACTGCTACTATTGTTGTTGTTGTTAGCACTGCTACTAAAGCTAGAGTCAAAAATACTGCCATCATCATCATCACCACCTTCACTATAATTAATATTATTATAGTTATAATTATTAATACTAGTAGTTGTAGTAGTAGTAGTTGAAGTTGTTGTTGTTGGAGTAGTGACGGAGGAAAATTTATTTAAAAAAGGCTTTCTGAATGTAACATTTTGGTCTAAATTCTTATCTATACTCGTTATTTTCGAATCTTTGGACGTTGATACGGCTGTCGTTGTTTTATTGTCTATGTTTGACTTTTTGTCGTCATTCGTCAGGGCATCACTGTCCGACTTCGTTTTGACTAGAAGCTCTTGTTTGAGGTCTGGGGTGATGTTTTTAATGGGTTGACGATTTTACTTTTCAGAATCATAACCATCACCATTTTTACAATCATCATCATCATCCTCACAGTCATCACAATCATCACCGTTGCAATCATCATCATTATCACTATCCTAACCTCTGGCTTCATCTTTAAGTCTCTGCATGCATTCGTTCAGTTCATGCTTCTCGTCTAGTTCGCTTTCTAATAAGGCGTTTCGTTCCAACTCCTGATAAAATCATCATTATCATCAATACCGCCATCATCATCATAGCCACCAACATTATTATCAACATCATCATCATCATCATCGTTACTCACCTGATAGAGTTTTAATTCAAAGTCTTCTAACGAAGCCATGGCTACTCTGAAGATGAGAATGAAAGAATAAAGGATTGAATGAGTGATTAAATTTGAAATCATCATCATGATTATCATCATCATCATCATCACAACCACCTCTTAGCTCTCTCCAGATCATCGTTATCTTGTTCGAGAGATCTGACTTGCTGTTTGAGATTAGAGGCGAATTCATCTGATCTCTTCAGTCGTTCCTCTAATTCAGAAATAGTCCTAGTCGAACTCTCTCTCAGATTTTGCACTATTTCCTGGGAACAAGGTACAATAATAATAAGAATAACAATAAAAATGATAGAGATAATTGTATAAGAATAATAACAGAAACAAATTATTTGAAAAAAAACAAATAAATAAAATAGCTTACTCTTAAATCTTCATTCTCAAATTGTAACTTTTGAATAGTTTTAGAAAGTTCTTTATTCTTTTTCTCTGTGATTTCAATTTGGCACTCGAGTTCTTGCTCTAACTCTCTACTACTGGATTGAAATTCGTCGAATTCATCTTTACAGGCTATATATCTTGGGAATGGTTAGTTGAGTGATTGATTGATTGATTTAATTGAATAATGTAATTGATTAGTTGTTTGGCTGATTGATTAATCGGTTGGTTACAAAATTAATTAAATGATTAATAATAATATTAATTTTAAACAGTTAGTTAATCAGCTGATTGGTTTGTTTGTTATGTGATTGAATAATCAATATATAGACTTACTTATCTTCAAAATCTTTTGCAATTTTTATCCAATAATTTACAACGCCATCTACGGCTGGGTCCATGTTGATTTGTTCGAATTTCAAACAATTTTCAATTCAAAAATTAAACACAGATCTGCATTTTAATGAAATAAAATGATTTTAAAATAACTAAAAATTTAACAAATTTAATTAAAAAAAACAAAGCAAAAACAAGCAAAAACAATTTTTAAATTCACAAGTTTTCTTTTAAAAATAAAATAAAAACTCCGGATTTCAATTCACAATTCTAATAATTGGGATACGAACAAAATTATCAAATTAGCCAAAAACAACTGCCTAAAATTCCTAACCTTTATTAGACTAAATAACAAACTCTGATCGATTAAATTATTTTCATACAAATTTAGTAAAACACTTTAAATTAAATCTATTTTTTAATTTTAGCGATCGCCTTCTATAAGTATAAATGTTTACAAGAAATGCACGTGCGTGAAAGTAACCAAGCAAAGAATTTAAATTATTTTTCCAAATACATCCCTATTTAGCGTTATTAAGCTGCATCAAATTTCAGTAAAAAATACTTGGATTTAATGTTTAGAGTTGAAAATTAGTAATTTTTGAGGCTTAAATTTTGAAAAGTTTCAATTTAACACTCTTATAGCAGGTTTTAATTTTAATTCTCGTGACAAATTTGATGTTTAGTTGAATTTTACGAGAAAGAAGCTAACGTGGGCATAGACGGAGCTTATAAGTATATATATTTATATATAAATATATATAAAAAACATTCTTGCATTCTATTAACATTTTTGTATAGAAAACGATAAAAAAAACGAAAAAAACCTATATTTAAGTTCATCAATCATCAGTATTTGTAACGTACGGTCAATTTTCTATCTTAAAACAACATTCTACTTTTGTGACACAAAAGCCTAAGTAAATTACACTAACAATAATAATTAAGTAAAAATAATTGCAATTAGTATCTCTATTTAAAATATAATTGTAAATTTTAACCATTAATTTTTTTTCTGCTTAATCTTAAACCATTTAATCTTCGATTTCTGAATGGACATGTTGATATAGGTCTGCCTAACTTGAACGAATTTCTCCTCCTTTCTCATAATCCGTGCGATCATGAACATTAGGTACCATCTGTTCACCGACGATTCAACTGGATACACGTGGAGCTAATTTTGAAAAGTGTCGAATGGTTAATTTAGAGTTAGGACTGTTGCCAAATGAATGCAAGCAAAAAAAAACCTCAAATACTTTATTAAACGTTTTGCACATTATTTTTTCACATTTTTTAAAAAGAATATTTAACAACAAATAAGAATATTTAACAAAAAACAACAATCAGTCATATACCATAACGGCATGGTGGGTGACGACCGAAATACTGAAGAGCTTATAAAGCATCAGAGTTGCAAAGATCAGGGCTCTCAAAGTGATGACGGATGTGGCCTGATGAGAACTGGTCTGCCCGAGTTGGAAGGTGCAGTCACTGGCAAACAGGACCATCCCTTTGGCCAGCAGTCTCAAAAACGGCATGTCGATTCTGAGAATAATTTTTAATATTTTTTAAAATTACTTTATTTTTTATATGCGATAATAAGAAGAACTAAAAAGAGAAGATGACGAAAACAAAAATATATTTGTGATGTTGGAAATGACGTCATGATGCTAATTATTATCAAATCAACCACACTAAACTACGTTAGTGACGTAAAACGGGCAGCGGAAACATATACCTACACAGACAGACAGGCAGACAGACAAACAAACAAACAAACAGACACCATCACCACAAACGTAGCCAAGATATTAGTGACGCAAAGTAGCCCGGCCACAACTATTGTGTAGGCAAGGAAGAAGGCAGTGCACGTTCTCAAACTCCTGCCGATGATGAAGAAGAAGACATTCATGCTGTCGTTGACGCAGCTGTAGTAGAAGACGCGCCACGAGTACAACATGAGGAGCAAGGCGGCTGGAAACGTGGAGAGCTATCGAAGTGTGATGATGGCCAGGCCGAAATTAGGATGGATGACGATGAAATGATGATGGCTGGCGAAGGTGATGATCACGACGAAGAATAATCAGAAAAAAAACGACAATTATGGTGAAAAAAAAAGCTGACAAGAACCGCGTGCATCTGACTGAACTCTTCAAAGTTGAAATCAAATCTGTGGATGATTCGGAGGCGAGAGGCCTGCCACTGCTTCAAGAAGACGAACCACAGGCCGGCCATGCCAAAACTGAATCCTGGAATGTGAAACAACATCATCGAGTGCATCAAGTGCATTAAGTGCAGCAGAAACAGCGGCTTTAACACAAATTATATCAACATCATACACACAGACACACACACAAACATACATACATACATACATACATACATACATACATACATACATACATACATACATACATACATACATACATACATACATACATACATACATACATACATACATACATACATACATACATACATACATACATACATACATACATACATACATACATACATACATACATACATACATACATACATACATACATACATACATACATACATACATACATACATACATACATACATACATACATACATACATACATACATACATACATACATACATACACACACAGACACACACACACACGCAACTAACCAATTAACATGACGGAAACAATGTTCCAGATGTTGCAGAAAAACTTTCCGAAGCCGAAAACGGCCATTCTCTGAATGACGTGCGCAGTGCTGAAAAGTGCGCAGAGGAAGAAAATGAAGGAGATGAATAGGAAGTTATCGTCCGTATCTTGAAATAGTTCTACGTTTGTGACCTGAAAAGTAGTAGTTGTGGTAGTAGTAGTAGCTACTAGTAGTAGTTAGTAGTAGTAGCTACTACTACTACTGCTGCTGCTTCTGCTGCTACAACAGCCACAACTATATCTACTACTACTACCTTCATCTTCATTTTCGTCATACCGCTGGGAGTGATTTCGAAATACATGAGCAAGTTTGTAAGAAGATCATTATGAAAGGCGTGCAGGTATACTGAAGCCACTATGGCTGCGTGGGAGCTATCAAAGTAGCTGTTGTATTTCAAGTAGCGTATGGCAGCCAGGGCCACTTGTTTGTTGAAGGATAGGCATACGGTTGTGTTGTCGAAGAAACCGTACGAGTCAGAGAGGGCGTTCCATGTTATTGTTTTTTTATCTGCGCGTGTGTGTGCGTGTGTGTGCGTGTGTGGTGCACATCATAATCATCATCATTATCATCATCATCATCAACGACAACAACAACAACAACATCACAATCATAACCTGGTATGTGTTTGATGAGGTGCATGCAAAGCGGTTTCAGCAAGACAGGGGAGCTGTCGTATTTATCGTGGAAGTAAAACTCGTTGTTCTCGCTGTAAGTGTTGTTGACAACCACTTCCATCCACTCCCAAAACCGGGATAGCTTCTGTTTTGTGGTGGTTTTGTGGTGTTGTTGTGGTGTTGTAGTGGTAGATTTGTGGTGTTGTTGTTGTGGTTTTGTGGTGTTGTTGTGACAGTTTTGTTGTTCTAAATTACACAGTCACACGCACACGCCAATGTATACCAAGAAACACTACAACACAAAAACTAACAGCTTATAAACACTCTCATCAACAAACAACTACTCCGTCAAAACGCATGCAATACACACACCAACAAATAAACACACACACACCAACAAAAAACACACATAACATACACACACACCAACAAATAAACACAAACACACCTATATATACAAACAAACACACCAGAACACCTATATATACAAACAAACACACCAGAAAACACATCACACACACTCCTACTAACTGTCTTATTGACAGACTTATCAACCAGCAACTTCTCATATCTGACAGTGACTAAGACAGGTTCCCCGGTGTACAGCATTATGGATAGGGACAAAAAAACGATAACCAGGAATATGTAGAAAGCGGATTCGATACTAAACTGTTTGTATCCTCCGTCCCATTCCAATCTTTTTATCAGCTTATCTTGAAATGCTTCCGACCATTTAACCGGATTGTACAGTTCAGTTTTTCGTAGAAATCTTACTCGCAGTTTTTCCTTCGTTGTCATTGTTTTTAGATCTGGGTTGTTTGTTTTGTTTGTTTTGTGTTTGTTTTTTGGTCTTTGTTTTGTATGTCGTTGTTTTAAGATCTATGGTATGTTTTTTTTGGTTTTTTAGCGTTTTTTGTAACGGAAACACAAAAGAAACACGGACACGGACAAAACTTAAAAAAGCAAAACGCATAAAAGACAAAAACCTAAAACGAGACAAAAAATAAAACCGAAACGAAACGAGACATACTCTCCAGCGTCTCGAATTTAATCTGTCCTATATGGTAGACGGGATTGAAGAGCCTCGTCTTGAAGATAGAAGAATGAATAAAAGACATGAAGACGACCATGATTGGATCTTTGACGAAAATAACAATGACCAACGATATCAAAGTCATCTTTATCCAATCTAAAAATTGACTTTTCTGAAGCTGTGTTTGTGTGTGTGTGCGTGCGTGCGTGTGCGTGTGCGTGTGGGTGGATGGGTGTGTATGTATGTACAAATTTATAAACACGTCTTCATTACCAAACAATGTAAAAGCTCATGTGTTCTAAAACGTCATAAAACATAAATAAAAAACTTTAATATTTAACTTAAGCATTTGGTCGAAATAGTGCACGGCATTAATTAAGAAACATTTAAATAAATAAATAAATTGGATTTCAAATCTTTCAGACACAATTAGTCATTCGAGGAATAGAAATAAGCGTAAGCCAATCAGATATCCAGAAGGACAATTGTTATATAACATCAATGTTTGTTGAAAGCCTTATTTACACCAACAAATAATTAAATGTAAAAACAGACAAAAAAGGCTAAAAGACATTCCTTTATTCTCTTTCGATACTTTTACGATTCCTGCTACTTTTCTCATAAATTAAACGCTAGAACTCACCTTTCGTTACGGTTGAAGTATATAACAATAAATAACCCAATACAACCCTCTTTAACCCTAACCCTAACCCTAGCCCAAACCCATTCTCGCCCGTCATTCTCAATTTCCGAACAGCGATTGAGAAATGTAATGAGAAACAATCCAAAGTTGGAAATTTGGTAGGTTTAATAAATTAATGTATATTTACATACACACACCTTGGTGGCATAGACTCCAAGAAGTGAGGTAAAGATGACACATCCAGTCATCGTGACAATCCATGCTACGATCACAGACCATTTGCCATGGAATAATTTGTACCAGTCAAAGTAAGCGCCATATGATTTGTTTACCTCTGAAAAATAAGCGCTACACTATTTTTATCTCTAAAAACGTACATTTGTTGTGAACACACACACACGCACACACACACACACACAAATACACACACACATTTAAACGACCTTTTTTCTTCTTCTTTTTCTTCTTGCCCTTGAAACAGTTGGTGATAGTTTCAAAAAACCCTATGCCCTCGAGATCATCTGAGTCCAAGTCGTCATCCTCACCCCCTTCTTCTTCGAGCCCGTAGGTGGCCATCGAGCCCTGAGTGAGCAATTTTTTGATGTCGATTCCACCCTGAATATCGACTCCTGATTGGTTGAAATGTTTTTATTCTTCTTCTTAACGAAAATAATTTTTCCTTGCAGTTGTTGTGGCTGTTGTTTTCACAAAATTTTCCAGACTTAAAGACACTCACACAGACAAACAGACACAGACGAACATGCACAGACAGACAGACATGCACAGACAGCCAGACAGACAGGCAGACACCTTGTTGTTTCAAGTACTCCTGATCCATCATCATCATGTTGAACTGTTTCCTTTTCTTCTCCTTTTCTGTACGTCTGAACGAGTGCAATCTCTGCTTCCCCGCCAAATTTTTTGAAGTCTCTTTTCCCGTGTTGTGTTTATGAGAGGATTTTGATGTCTTCCCTTGTTTTTTGCTGCTTTTAACCTTATCTACAATCTTTTCTAAGTTTTTTTTGACGTGTTTCGCGGACAATTTCGAGTCACCGCGACGCTGATGTTGTTGTTTGTGTTTTGATTGGCGTGAAGTAGGTTTGTTGTGTTTGCTGCTGCTGTTGATGTTTTTGCTGGTGTTGTTGTTGTTGTTGATGACGTCGACGATGACGTCATTAATGTTGTTGCTGTTGTTGTTGCTGGTGTTGTTTGCAAGGTTTTCGCTGCTGTTGTTAACTCCATTTAGACCTTGACCTTTACCATCATCGTCACTATCGTAATCACTATCATCGTCAATTACGTCATCGTCATCATCAGTATAACCATCATAATCATTATCATCACCATCGTCGTCGTCGTCTTCACCAGCTGCTGTATTTTTAGTGGATGACGGGTCGAATCGCCTTTTAAAGAAATTTTTACATTCCGACTGAGGCCTTCTTATGAAGGAACTCCTAGGCGCCACTTTGTAAACATCTGACCACTTCCGTTTTTTATTATTATTATTATTATTGTTGTTGTTGTTGTTGTTAGTGTCGTTGTTGTTGTTGTTGTCGTTGTTGTTGCTGTTGTTAAAGTTGATCCTCGTCGAGTTTATTTGATTGTTATAGCAAGAGTAACAAAAATAATTACTATGATTATTATCATTATCATTATTATTGTTATCATTATTATAGTTATTATTATTATTATGTTTAATATTATTATGTTTATTTTTCTCATCCTCATCGTCATCGTCGTCATCGTCGTCGTCAAAAATCTTGCCACCTTCACCCTCAGAGACCATCTTGTACGTCAGGGCGTTTTTATAGATTCGCCTCGCTATGAAGTTCTATTTGGAAATTATGGTTTTTATTATTTGTATTTATTTATTACTGTTATTTATTATTATTATAGTAAATATTATTATTAATTCTTCTTCTTATTGTTATTATTTATTATTTGTTTGCTTTGTCTCATTCTTTCGCTCAAGTTCATTGGTTTATTTATAGAAAAGTTTTTTTGCTTATTCGTTAATTACTTAACTAATTGATTAATTAATTAATTCTTTCATTGATTCATTCATTGATTCATTGATTCATTCATTCATTCATTCATTCATCCATCCATTCATTCATTCAGATGAACAAACATGGTATGCAAATTCGGTCCTGTCAATTTTCCAGTCGGGCAGCACAACCCTATTCGGAAGATTCCAGGTGGAAAACCGGAAGAAGTGGTTGATGGTGGCCGACAATGGAATACTCAGTAACGAACTGTATATAACTGGACGGCGGTGGTGATGATGATCAATTTAATGATGATGAATGCACTGATGATTAAAGCTCGCAAATCTAATTGCACCATCCAACCAATCACAACCATTTTTAACCAGCCAACCAATTAACCAATCAAAATTAACCAACCAGCCAGTCAAAATTAACCAACTAATCAAAATTTACCAGCTGACCAATCAAAATTTATCAGCCAACCAATCAAAGTTTACAAGCCAGCCAATCAAAATTTATCTGCCCACCAGTCAAAATTATCCAGCCGACCAATCAAAATTAACCAGCCAACCAATCAAAATTAACCAGCCAACCAATCAAAATTTACCAGCCAACAAATCACCACTAAACTAACCGACAACGATATTTGTATAGGTGAACCTAATGCTTCCGAGAGCAAAAATCTCATCATCTAAGCCCTTCTGGGCCCCTAGATAATGCAGCGTCACCATGCCATTGCACAGAAATAAACAAAATATTTTACTGATTCTTTGGTACCTCACGAAATTCGATCCAACGGGCAAAAAATATATGGAAAGCCAATTATGCCAATCTTCGAAGGCCCTGTTTTTCGTAGAATTTTAGGTGTATTAATTTTCACACATACATACACAGACAGACAAAAAAGATACAGACAGACAGACAGGCATACAGACAGACAGATAGGCATACAGACAGACAGATAAACAGACAGACAGACTAACCTGCAGACATTATTGACCATGAGGGCGTCGAAGTTGTAGAGTTCGTAATAAGTGGCGACTGCAAAGGTCTTATAGGAGACGAGTGCAGACGACATCCAGGACTCACAGACAAAATAAAAAATTCTCATTCTCTGAATGTCTATCACCTCCGCGTCTCTCAGGAACCTAGTTACGGCGTATTCGTGACGTCATTATTATGACGTAATTATATCGTAATTATGACGTAATTATGAGGTAATTGTGACGTAATTGTGACGTAATTATGACGTAATTATGAAGTAATTATAACGTAATTATGACGTAATTATAACGTAATTATGACGTAATTATAACGTAAATAGGACAGTTTTTATTATCAGTTACGATTCTCTATCTTAAATATTCCTCAGCCGTGTCAACACGCACCGCATGTAGTCGGGTACCTTAACCACTACCGTTATTATTATTGTTGTTGTTGTTATTATTATCATGATAATGATACTAATGACGATGATAATGATACTAATGACGATGATAATGATACTAATGACGATGATAATGATGACCACAAACACCCCCCACACATTCTCCTACCATTTATCAGTAAGGAGTTCAGTTTTATTGAGCCACACTCGCAGATAAATTATGGGGCCCAAAAATTGCCGGGTGCGAATTATGAAAATATTTCTCTGACCCCGACTAAGGACTCTATACTGGGAGCAATTTAGAAGATGCGTTTCTGATTTAACCTTTTTACCTTTGGTTTGATTGATTGGTTGGTCGGTTGGTTGATGCTGATTGGTTGGTCGGTTGGTTGATGTTGATTGGTTGATGTTGTGTTGGTTGATGTTGATTGGTTGGTTGGTTGATCAACAACATCAACAACAACAACATCCACAACAACAACATCCACAACAACATCAAAAACAACAACAACAACATCATCATCATCAACAACAACAACAACATCATCAACAACAACAACAACTGACCTACTAACTGGACAAAAACTTTCGACTTGACCCCGGCCGCTGGGTGTTTTCCTGTGTTGACCACAATCAAGTAGATGTACTTACATTTGTGCGAGTTATCCGCAAGGTCAATCGGCATGGCCTTGACCCAGAAAAAAATAATTGGGTCAGGAAATTATTTGATTTTTTTCGTTCATTCCCCCATTCGTTCGTTTGTTTGCTCTTACATTCGTGCAAATTTCATTAAGTTTTGAAGTTTTAATTTTTTTTTAAAAGCTATTTTCATCAGTATAATAATAATAATCGCAATCGATCGTCATCATCACAATCACCATCATCATCATCACCATCATCACCATCACCATTATCATCATCACCATTATCACCACCATCACAATCATCATCATAATCATCCTCATTATCGTCATCATCATCACAACCATCGCCATCGTCATCATCGTCACCACCTTGTAAGCATCTTCGTCATCTGCAATTTTAGACAGGAGAAACAAGGTCATGTAGACGAACCAAAAGGCAGCCAGAGTTGCTAGCGTAAATGCTGTACTCTTATCACTCCTGTAATTATTATTCATAATTATATTATAATTATTATTTATAATTATATTATGATCATTATTATTGTTGTTGTTCATTATTATTATTTGTTGTAGTAGCAACAGTAGTAGTAGAAAGTAGTAGTAGTAGTAGCAATAGTAGTAGTAGTAGTAGTAGTAAAATTATTCACATTTCAGAAAATTAATTTCTGAGGCGCTTCATTTTTAAAACAGATGAATAGGTAAACATTAGGCGCCGAACCATCGCATTCCGCTTGCCGAATCGTCTGCTGTGAAGTTGAACCTCAACGGTCGATATTCCGAGAGGATGTAGTAGTACGTCATGTGAAGACATTTGCAAGTCAGGCCGCCATCTTGAGATTTGTATAGCGCCTAAAATATTATTGTTGAAAAAAAGTTGAATATAAATATCTATTGTTAACTAAAATGAAGACAGATATACACACACAGACATGTACACACACAGACACAGACACACACACAAACACACACAAGCATATAAACAGATATCAAGTAGAATGTACTTACAAAATTGTTATTATTATTTCTAACCCAGCAGTTTTCATCGTCCAGTCTTTGGTCAACTTCATTCCAAAATAGGCAGGAATACTTTACCAAACTGGCAGTCACGTTGGCGGACGGGCCGCCATTTTGTTTTGTTACGTCTGCCTCAAACCCTTCGTCAAAATTATTAACCGTAATCACTAATTTCAGTGTCTTTTTCTGGGCAACAACCCCGAAATACGGTAGAGTAAATGACGTCATTGCGTTCTCTGATCTGATTGTAGCAATGTTTTTCATTCAGAAATTTGGCTATAAAAATGCATTTTAATCATTGGTTTGGTTAGTGTGCAAAAAAATTCATTTAGTACCATTTTTAGCTTTAAAGCCTACCTATTTGATAGAATAACGATTCATTTTAAAAATAATCCCAAACTTATATTTATTCTGGGAAACAATGAAACAAGTCTCCAAGTCGTCACAGTCTTTGGAACAAGCTTTCACAGTGACATCAAACCCTCTAACTCTATTGGACGGCAAGACATTAAATTTGAGTTTAAATTCAAAAATGCTCTTCTCTAATTGGTCGACGGAAAGCTTCATGATCGCTGATTGGTTGGCGTTAATTTGAATGAACCAATCGGAAGCGTCGATCTGTTGCGACTTTGTAGGGACTGTAAACTGATAGGATAATTTTGAAAATTAAAATAATAAATCATATTCATTCTAATATTTATTTATCTGTTCATTCATTTATTTCAATTTATTTTTAAAATTTAAATCGCAAGAAAGAAAATAACGATACCTGAACTGTTCCTTGATTTCTGCCATTGTTCCTCATTTGGTTGATCATCAAAATCGGTCCTAGATACATACCATTCATTGATTTTATTACACTTGAAAGACTTTTACTACTACTACAACTACTACTTCTACTTCTTCTTCTACTACTACTACTACTACTACTACTACTACTACTACTACTGCTACTACTACTACTACTACTACTACTACTACTACTACTGCTGCTGCTGCTGCTGCTGCTGCTACAGCTATTGCCACTACTGATATTGTTGATGTTGTTGACGATGTTGTCATGGATGTTGATGTTGTTGTTGATGTTTTCGTTGGCGTTGTTGTTAGTGGTCTCGTTATTTTTATCGGAATCGTAATTTTCATCGAAATCGAAACATCGGTATGTCGGTAGTCGGTCATATTCGGCGAAGCAGTTCAACAGAACGATCTGTTCGAGAATTATTATTATCATCATCAAATCATTTTTCATAATTGTGCAATTTTTATCAGACAATTAAGACTTAACATTCGGTCAATTATAATGCAAACTTTCAATACCTCTGATACGTAATTCTTTTTTCCAAATCTCTGGCTACTATCCTCACCAAACTCAAAATCTTCGAATTCATCGGCGCCACTTTTTAATTCCGGATTTTCACCAATTATCCGGACATTGATGACGTCATTGCGATGAACAACATCCCCAGACTGGGTTTTTCCCAGATATGACGAAAAAAATGCGGACTTTATTGAGACGTTTTTGTTGGAAATGTTAAAGATGGAAGAGCTAAAGTTTAAAATGTTGTTGATTAGCGTGTCCGGATTTTTGAAATTGTAAATTAAGGTTTTCGGACTGTCCGTGGGGAGGCCATTTTCTAACTTCCATGACGTCAAAATTTTATGGTTTATATGGCGCTTTATATTTATTGAGAACTCATCGACCGTCTGTTGTAAAGAAAACATTTTTGCTGTTAAAACGCTTTTGGTAGATAAAAATGAGTTTATTTTTTTATGAAAAATGTTTATTAAGAATGAAATTGTTGTCAGGATACCAGAAGTGCAGAAACAAAAATATAATGAGTACAACTATTTAGAAATTTGTCGCACATTTCGTCATGAGATGTTTGCCAGGGTGAATACTTGTAGCTTGTATTTGTGGTTGATATTTTTAAGAATTAATTTCTAATACTACTGCTACTACTTCTAATACTAATACCACGAATTACACTAAAAATCTTTACTTGTTTTATGTCAAAATCAGGCAAATTACCGTCCAAGAATGACCTTCCTCTCGTTGATTTTGTGACAACTGCAGTGAGAAACAAATGAATTAATAGAAAAATAAATAAAATTATCAATACCTTATCAAAATTTATTGTATAATAATTAAAATTATCAACTAACTGTTAACAAGTTAATTTAATATTTTAATTGAAATCGATTTAAAAACTTAATTAACTAGAACTAACTCTGGACACAAATGACAAAAACTGAAGCAAAATTTAATAAGTTCAACATAAAAGATGATTTTTATATAATATATTGAAATAAATAAAAATATATGTAAATATTATTGTATACGTATATATGTTTACAATTTTTAATGTACATAAGCGAGCGTGTATTTACATTGTATTTTGGTGTATTTATTAAGTTGTACACCGTATACACCGTATCTACAATTATGTGGTATATTTGCAATGAAATAGAAGAATTTAGCTAAAAAAACTTATTTATCTTAATTTTTAGATATAATAAACAATATTTAATACTATTTATGTTAGAAATAAAGAGTTTTTGTTATGAAAATAATCAAAAAACCACTACTTTGTATTCAAATACAATGTTCATAAAATAAATTGTGTATTATATTTAGTTTTTTTGGTAAGCCATATGATAATTGGTAATTTAACTAGTCAAAACCGATCTGAACCGAATTTTTGTTTTATTTCACTAATTTGTTCAGTTGTAAAGTCCGGACTTTTTTTTTCTTGAATTTAATAAGTTTATTCATTTTTTTATTTATTTTAATCGCAAAGTCAATTTTGCCATGTCCGGGAAGGATAGGATCAATGTTTTTCCATCGCGAATGTTAGGTTTTAAAAAAAATTGTTTTTAAATTTATTTTCTGCCATTTAAATTTTAATTAAATGTCAAATTTTAAAATTAGTAAATTTAATAGCTATTTGTTTGTACGTTTTTTATATGTGGTCGCCATCCAATTAGATTACTATTAAATACAATTTTTAAAATCTTGATCTATTATTTTATTTGTTAATTTAATAATTTTAATTAACTTATCTTTTTTAATTAAAAAGTACTTGTAGAACTAACTGAAATCTAACTAATCCTAATTTATTTAGGGCCATGACGAACATGAAGACCCGTTTAAAGGGGGCCCAGAAGGGGCATAGTCTGCTAAAGAAAAAATCTGATGCCCTCACCCACAGATTTAGACAGATTCTTAAGAAAATCATTGATGTTGGTTTCATTTTCTTAAATAAGTGTCATTTTTGTATATTTATTTATTTATTAAAATTAATAATTTTTTATTATTTTCTAATTATCTTCTGCTATTTTTTTAGTATTCAACTCCTGAAATCTTTTTCATATTTAATCAATTCCTACTACTCTAATTGGTCTATCTACTAACCAAACAACTGACTAAAAATATTTATCTTTTGTTTGTTTTCAATTCCAAAGACGAAAATAATGATGGGCGAAGTCATGAAGGAAGCTGCATTTTCATTGGCCGAGGCAAAATTTGCCATGGGTGAGTTTAATCACCTTGTCCTTCAAAATGTTGGCAGGGCAAAGGTCAAAGTTAGATCGAAAAAAGATAATGTTGCAGGTCAGCTTTTGGCCTTTTTTTCAAATATAACATTTCAGTACATTTTTTTTATTTAAAAATTACTCCATTTTGTCAGTATAATGTGAATAGTTGATCAATTTTAATCAATTACTACTTAATTACTCCATTATTTTTTAATTAATTAATTAGTTTTTACCTCATTAATTTATTTTATAATAAAATAAATTAATTTTTAGTTTTAGTTTTACTTTTTTGATTTTTGATTTTCAAATTATTTCATTTTTATTCAAAATTGTTTCAGGGGTTATGTTGCCCACATTTGAATGTGATCAAGATGGACCTGATTGTTAGTTGGATAGATGGACAGATTGATGAATGAATGAACGAACGAATGAATGATAGATTAATGTATGAATGAAATCATTAATTTTAATTTCTTAATTTTAATTAATATTAATCCAATAACGAATCAAACAACCAACCAATCAATCATCCTTGTCAATCCCCACCCACCTACCTAACAGCGAATGTCCTGTTAGGATTAGGCAGAGGGGGCCAGCAGACAGATCGGTTGAAGAAAAATTACTCAAAAGCCATTGAGTTGCTAGTTGACCTGGCTTCCCTACAGACTTCGTTCATCGTCCTTGATGAGGCCATCAAGACAACGAACAGAAGAGTCAATGCTATTGAGCATGGTATTGCTGCTGTTGTTTTAAACTATATACTTATACCCCAACCAATCTAACTCTATTTTCATTTGATAAGCTCCACCAAATAGCCATTCAAACTCAAATTAAATTTTATAATAGCTTCCACCTAACAATTCAACAACCAATCAAGATTAGGTTATTTATGGAGAGTTCTTCCTATCAGCCAATCATATCGTAATAAACACTCTTAACCAGCCAACCATATTTAAATTAGCTACCATATGCCTCTCTCAACAACCTATCAAATTGAAATGAATCACAATAAGCTTCTTCTACCGACCAATCACATTGCAGTGATCATTCCACGCATTGAGCTGACACTGGATTACATCACCACAGAGTTGGATGAGAGGGAGAGAGAAGAATTTTATAGGTTTCATCCATTTTATGGATTGTTGTACGGGTGATTGAATGAAGGAATGAATAAATAAATGGATAGCTAGATGAATGATTGGATAGATGAATGAATGAATAGATGAATGAATGGATAGATGAATGAATGAAAGAAGATGGATAAAAAAAAATAAATAAATGGATGATAGACGGATCAGTTGACTGACGAATAATAGAATAGCTTGTATTGTATTAATTGGTGTTTGAATGAATGAACGAACGAACGAACGAATGAATGAATGAATGAACGAGCGATCTTATAGTGAATCCTAATCACATCATAACCACCACCACCGCCAAACCGAATGATAGAATGAAGAAAATACAGAGAAAGAAGGCACAGATCAGAGCAGAGCAAGAAAAAAATTCATCCAACTCCAATGGCAAGCAGTTGAATGAATGGGCAGGTAAAAGTGGAGTTAATGACGACAATAGCTCTAATGTTATGGACATGCTACACGACGATGACGAAGACTTACTCTTCGGCAATTAATTCACAAAAAAAACCTGGTACATCCCTATTTTGTAGTGGCAGTGATGGGTGGAGTCGCGAATTCGTTAGATTGGTTGGTACATTCCCGTTTTTTTCACCAGTAATGGGCGGGTTTCAGTTGATTAGTGAGAGAAGAGTTAGAGGAAGGGGTCCAGTTAGGGATGACGTATGTACCTGCGAATATTTGTTTGTGTGTGTGTGTATACATTTGTTTGTGTGTGTGCATACATTTGTATGTGTGTGTGTGCATATATTTGTATGCGTGTGTGTGTGTATGTTTGTTATATTAATTGACATTTTGTCAGTTGGTTTATTTAATTATATAACTATTGTTATTGTTATTATTGCTCTTATTCTTGTTACAATTAAATTAATAAATTGTATATTTATAATAATAATAATAATTGTTATTATTATAGTTGAGATAGATAGCCATTGATTCGTTTTATTTGTTTATTTTATTCCACAATAAAATTCCACAACTTGAAGAATTAGAAGGAATAAAATTGTGTAAAGGTTATTTTTTCATCCGTCTTAACCGTCGTCACTGCCATCATCTGTTCTAATCGTTGTCCTCATCATCATGTTCTCCATGCTGTCACCATCATCATCATCATTCTTCTGATCATCCTAAATCATGTTTGCCATCAACATCGCCATATTTTTATAGTTTCAATTTCATCATCATCTTTTCGTTTTTATTATTATTAACATTATTATTATTATTATTAACATTATTATTATTATCATCATCATTGTAGTCTTCTACCCTTCGGTATGGAGTTCCATATCAACTTCCAAAGCCATTTCGCGAATATGACAACTGTTAAGATGACGATGATGATGGTGCTTATGATGATGATGGTACTTATGATGATGATGATGGTGGAGGTTATGGTGAAGGTGGGACTTGTAAAATATTTTAGAGGTAGTTTTTTCATCATGTTTGTGACTGGCGAGTTTTTGCGTTCAAACTGGTGCCCATTGTAGCAGCAGACGGTTATAATAATGATGATGGAAGATAGAGAGCGAGAGAGGGAAAGAGAGAGAGGAAGGCATACTAAGAGAGGGAGAAAGAGAGAGATGAATATATATATATATATATATATATAAATGGAGAAAGTAGAGAACGAATAGGGACGAAAAGAAAATCGTGAAAGAAGGAATGTAAATGAAAGAGGAGAACGAGAGATGGAGATAAAAAGTTAAAAGAGAGAGATAGAGAAATGAAAGAGAGAGAGAGATGGAGTGTGTTGGATGGATACAACAGGAGCTGCTAACTGAATAAGTCGCTGAAAAAATTTTTCGATTCTTTTTGAACTACAAAGCTGCCGGCGTCGTTTAAGACATCAGTGAACTCGAAGTCCGGGTCCTTCACACAGACCTGACGTGTGTAGTTGAATCTGGTGTGTACGTGTGTGTGTGTATGTGCGTGTGTACCTGTGTGTGTGTGTGTGTGTCATTGTTTTCTTTTCTTGTTTTGTGCATTAGGCGTGTACTTTTAGTTTTACGTAGATGTGTAATTCATTTTTCATCCATTCAATCATTCACTCATTTGTCCATTCTTTCACTAATGCATATTATACTGGATCAATCAATCAATCAACCAATCAACTAACTTATGTCCAAGCGAACATGTGCAGTAATAGTTCCCCTCCAAGTTTCTACATATGGAATTCTTCTCGCAGAGGTAGTTGTTGAATTTGCATTCGTTGTAATCTTCATTGGTTGGTTGGTTAGTTGATTGGTTGGTTGGTTAGTTGATTGGTTGGATGGATGATTGATTGACTGATTGATTCATTCATTGATCGATTATAAATTAATTAACCTATTAATGATTACTTGATTCACTGCCTAGTTGATTGAATGAATGAATGAATGATTAAATGAATGAATGATCAATAATTGATTGAACGTAAGTATGTATAATTGATCGAGCGATTGATTGATGGGTTGGTAAGTTGATTAAATAATTGTTTGAATGAATAAATGAATGAACGAACAAACAAATAAATGAATGAATAATAACAAACCAACACAAAGGCGAAAAACTTCATCGAAGACATAGCCACTCTTGTAATAGAGACACGAGCAGGTTGTATTAAATCTTTAATAATAATCATAACAATAATAATAATAATAGAAATGATAATAAATAATAATCAGACTTGACCTACCTATTATTAATTAGGTCAAGGAAACTTCTGTTTTTTTTGGGGTCAAGCTTGCACCCGCCGGCCGCGAAACCGCAGGGGAAGTCGGGGAGCTCCGTGCAATCCTTGGCAAACCTGAGGTGTTGATTACGATTGGTTGCGGTGATGGCGACGATCATCAGCACCGCCAACAACAACAATCATCATTATCATCACCACGGCCATCATCATCAAAACCAACTGGGCAGTTCCTCTGACGTACGGTCTCAACATCGTCGGCCTGAAAATTCGATTTCGAGATGACGTTCGGTTCAGATGACCGCAACACGGATCTGATGATGATGATGATGATGGTGATGTTCGTGATGATGATGATGTTAGTGATGATGATGTTAGTGATGATGTTAGTGTTGACCGACCGGGGCAAAAACTGTGGAGGGCACAGTCGAAGAGCCTCTTATCATAGCCTCTGTAATCCTCGGCCAGCTCTGTCCAGTTGTAAGGGATATGGCAGGTCTTGTAGAACCTTTCCAGCAGTGGCTCTGACATCATCGTGTACCAGCACATGTAGTAAGAAGCTGCCGTCTGTGGTGGTGGTGGTGGCGGTGGTGATGAAGAAAAAAAGGAAGATGATGGTGGCCTTGGTGAAGTCAGTGGTGATGTTTAAGTGGCCGAGTTGGAATGCAAGCAACCGAGCACCAAATGAAATTAGAAAATTGCGAACGAACCCGGATCTGAAACAATTGTTTCCTTGGAAACTTCTTATTGATAAGGAAGTCGATTCTCTTCAAACAGGGAACGAAGCCCCGCCTACATTCGTTCTGCACCGCCGCCGGGACTCGCCTCAGTGGGATTTTCGGAAATGACGTCATGAAGTACTGCGTTGGAAAGGATTTTTTTTGTGAGGGAGTTTGAAAAATGAAAAATTATTAAAAGAATGAATGATTAAATGAACGTATGAATAAATTAATGACGAAGAACTCGAAAGAAATGAAATCGGAGATCTGCTTTGAAGCATCAAATAAACTAACAACAATAAAACCAGCCCGAAAAAACATTACTACATTCCCAAAATCAATTTTAACCAGCAAAAACCTTCTCTACCCCTTCAAACGCCTCTAAAAAATCCATTCCTACCGGCCAAAACTTACTGGCTCCATATGAACAAGTTCATAATGGGTGACTCTTTGATCCCTTTCAAAGAATTTATGCTGGATGAGGTACTTGCCGACACGTTGTAAAGATTTTGTAATATCTATTGCTATGGCATCATCAAAATCCTCTGTTGTGTGTGTTTGTGTATGTGTTTGTGTGAGTGCGTGTATGTGCGTGTGTAATTATAGTAACGAATTTGTTTCCTACAACCTACTGCTCTTGTTTTATTTATTTTTATTTATTTATTTCACAAAACCAGAGGGCTAAAAAAAACCACTTATCCGGTAAGAAAAATGAAAAAAAAATGTTCGAAAAATGAATCGTACGTCTATGAATTAAGTAAAAACATAGGATAATAACAGAGATCGATGCATCTTCGGTTGTGTTTGTTGAGCGGTGGAAGTGGAGTTCCTGATGATGATGGTGACGATGATGATGGCGATGATGATGATGGTGGTGATGATGATGACGGTGGTGGTGATGGTGATGATTAAACACTCGGCGGATAAATCTTAATCCCAATATTAATTTGAATTCACGGCAATGCTATTCATTCATTCATTCATTGTGAACGAACGAATGAAGGAATAATCCTTCATTCGTTCGTTCACTCATTCATTCGTTTGTGGTGATGATAATGATGAAGAGGACGCGGTGATGATGATGATGAACGACTAGATAGAAGCCCGCTTCGGCTGATTAAAAATGTATCTAATAGCGTATAAATGAAATATAAGGCAACATTAACATTGTATAATTGATTGATTGGATGTGGTTGTTGCTGATGTTCTTTTCGTTGTTGTTGTTGTTGTTGATGATGTTGTC